AAAACTATACCAAAAAACTCTTTTAAAAAGCACAATAGCAACTCAGAATCAGTTTCCTGAGAATAACACATTCTGTATATGAATACTGTCATAGGCATCATGTGAAATTCTTTACATGTATCAATTACTTATATAATATTTACAAACCACTATTTCTGGGTTACACCACCCTAAGTGTTAAGATTTCCATGATAATCCTTAGAACCAGTATGTTCTGGAATCTTACAGTGCCCAGGGCCCCAACAATAACACTGTACATGGAAATACTAGTATCACATTTTGAAAATGGTACAAATGAGGCTTAGACAGGTTAGTACTTGTTAAAAGTCATGCAAAGACTAAATTTCTGAATGAAGATTCAACCCTGGTCTGTTTCAGAGACCAATATCATTAACTACTTGATGGTGCATGAAGCACTCTTTGACAAATATTGTGCTTGGACTTGAACTAGCTCGTTGGAAAGCTTCTTGGCGTTAGGAAGATTAAGCTAGCAGTAGTCTCCTGGAAGGTTCCCAACAGCCTGGAATTTTCTCTTATGGATTAGTGACTGAAACAGACAAGCATCAATGGCTAATGTAGCACAAGAGCTGGCATGTTCCTAGAGACAGCTGCCCCGCATGCCCTAGCCTTTAGCAATTGCCTGGCAACCATTTCTTGTGTGTACTGTCAGGGCATTCTCTCAGGTCTGCCAACTAAAAGCTCTGCCCTCGATCCCTGCCCTAGCCTGAATCTCACACTGTGTTCTTAGCCAGAAGGCTACCAGATGTGTAAAGGTGGGTGGATCTGTACAAATTCGTCATCATGATGAGAAAAAAAAGAGAGAGGGGCTTCTGAGGTGACCTAAAAATATCACAATGATTTTCTGAAAGAGACAGCATGATAATTTGTGAAATCAGTGGATGCAAAACATTGATGTAACATATTGGCCATGACACAGCTGAAAAGAACTCTCTGGACTTTAGTTTCTGACTCCATTAAATTAATACCAAATCCAAATGCTTGTGGGGATAGAATAGGTGTTACCTAAATGTCGGCTCCTTTCTTTTCCTAGTATTTCTTTTCTTTTGGTGTATTTCTCTCTATCATTCAAGTGGCTCTATTTTATCAATCTCACATGTTCTTCAATCAGATAGTTCCATGAAAATTAAGCAGAAAG